TTCAGCTTTCTCTAAACTCTTCATTGTATCACACCTGTGATCTCTTTGAAATGTCTTGCTCCCTCTTCTGCTTTTGCCACGAGCGGAGCAGTATGAGGCCCCTACCAGAGGTGCCACCTAATTTGACTTCCCAGCCACTAGAACTGTGAGCCAAATAAACCTCTCTTCTCTTTATAAATTCACCAAGTATTCAGGTTATAGCAACACAAAGTGGACTGAGACCCCCTGGTGTAAGTGCATCAGATACTCCACAAAACATTCTAATGTAAACACAACAAGAGTCCCTGCCTCTACAAGTACACACCACAGATAACTGTTGAGCATCTACCAGGTGCAGGCACCACCCTCAGTGCAGGCATACGGCAGAGAACTCGGTCGGGGGCCTGGAGTGCCCTGGTGGTTCAGGTTCAAACAGGTCCATCCCAGTCAGTGACCAACCAGAACCTGGCTCCTGGGCTGTGCAACTTCGCTAGGATTCGGTGGTGCACCACATCAGTTTCTGTCCACTTGCCTATTGATGAGCTGCTCTCACCTGAGCAAAGGATGCAGCTTGGGCCATGTGCTGCTAGGCATGAAGAGTCTTCCTGTCTGACCTCAGATTCTTGTCTCGGTTCACAGGGCCTGATCCAGGGATGTCCCTCCACCTCCACCAATGGATATTACCACCACTGACGGGGAGCTTCCTCATCGCACAGCCCCACCACAATGGGCTAATTCTATCACTGCAGGTGAGCTGTCGTGCCACAGAGCCCTTCAAGCAGCCAGGGTGGGGCCTGGTGAAAACATCCAGAGAACTGACTCCAAGGACTTGGGCAGAGGGGTTGTGGTCATTTTTCTCTCCTTCAGAGGTGCTTTTGAACATGAAATGGAGGAGTTCAGCCCTGCAAATATATATACATATGCACATCATACATATCTGTGTATATATTTATTGGCCTTCCTCAGGGCTGTTGACTCACAGGAACTCAGGGGCTGGAGAGGCAGCAGCTTTGGTGAGGGAGGTTGAGGGTGGAAGTGGGATGAGGGTAGACTGACAGGGCTACTTAGACTTCTCCACCATCTCCCTCATCCCACGTTATTTTCTGCCCTGGGTCCATGCCCCCAAACTCTCCATCCTCAAGGAAATCCTGAGCCTGCCTTTGCCTTTCTTTGAACCCTGAATGCGTGGATCCCCACGGGTCATGTGGCTGTGACTGCAAACTGTGTCACGAACAACCAAGTTTGGGAGGTGTGTGTGCTCACATCTTCTTTGAGATCCACACTTCAGCCATTAATAACTAGGAAACATCTACAGTTTAAAAAGAAAGAAAAAGCAGAGTGCAAGTAAACTAAAGACACCTGTTGGAATTCTGTGTACTCCTGGCATTCTCCAACTAATTGCACTGCTGAGCATTTTTCTTCTTAGATGGTATTATTAACATTATGCAGACGTAAGTGTTCCCCTGAAGGCAGTAGGAAGTTTAGGAAATTGTTCTATAAAGGTGGGACTTGGGAGCAGTTTCAGACTTTCCATATTCTTCAGCAGTCCCTTCCTCAAGGCCTCCACATAAACCTGCATTCTAAGAGACAGCTTGTTCTGCAGCTTCAAAGTAAATGCCCAAACTCAAAACAGCCCTGCCCCATGAGACTGCTGTCCCATCACTCTCAAGGCCCTGAGTGATCTGACCCCTCCTCAGTCGCCTCACACTGTACTTCCCCATCCCTCTGGAGTCCCAGCAGACAGGGTGACTGCTCCCCCACCCACACATAACCAGCACCTTGTCATCTTCTGCTACTCCTCTCCCAGTACTCAGTCCTTTGTAGGTGGCTGCAAGTCCTGCTCCTCCTGCAGATTTGCTGCAGTCCCTCACTTCCCAGGAGGGAATGGGAGCAGGGTAGGGTGAGGAGCAGCCATCAGGCCATTGAAAAACACAAACCACACAACCTGTCCTAAGTACAAAGTTAATAGCCCCACTTTTTTTTCCCCCTGTATAGTGTACATAGAGCAACCAGCTCTGTTCTGTTTTCTGGAGCTTTCCTGGTTTTAGGAAAGGAGGAGCCCTGGGCTGTTGTTCTGGGAACTGCTGTGCTGCTGACTGAGTCAAAATGCATTAAATGTTGAGAGACCAGCACCTGGCACCTAGTAAGCAATTATTAGTTGTTTTAAAGGAAGAGGAAATAACAGTCTCTTCTAACCCTGATTCTGTTGGACAAACTGACATAAGAAATGCTGTCTTCACCTGAAAATTTCTGAGGGCTGCTCTGGGTATTTGAGCCTCTGTAACCATCCATGTCTACTTAAACAAACTGTTGTTATTCTTTCTTTCTGGAACTTTGAGGTGCTTGGTGATTGAAGTCTAGAACCCCACCACTAAATCCATTCATTTATATATGCATGCATTTACTCATGCATTCAGTGAACATTTATTGAGTACCTACTAGGTGCTAGATGTTCGAAATGGAGGCTGCACTTGTTCACACTGTATAACATAGTCCAGCACCCACTTCAGTTGCTATGGTCCTGCTTTTAGGTCTTGCTACTGAGAAGCACTGTGGAATGCTGGACCCTCCACCCTACCTGGTTCCTTGCCCCCCAGGCCCTGACTCCCTGGGTTTGTTCACTGGGTCCCTATGCTGACTTGATGGTTTATATTATCTTCTCTCTCTTCCCCACCCTGCAAGCCCTTGTTGGTCCCGACACCCCTAGCGTGGCTCACCTGCTTCCTGCTGTGGACCCCTTTATTGGAAGTCTGTTTTCTCCCTCACTCCACTATGACTCCTGACACCAGCAGCTGCTTTTTATAAGAGAGTGAAAAAAAAAGAAGGAAAGAAAGAAAAGACGACAGGAAGGCTGGAATGTGTGGCTGAAAGGAAAAGGAAGGAAGGAAGGAAGGAAGGAGGGAAGGAGGGAGGAGGGAGGGAAAGAAAGAGAGAGAGAGAAGGAAAGGAAAGGGAAAGGAAAGGGAAAGGAAAGGAAAGGAAAGGAAAGGAAAGGAAAGGAAAGGAAAGGAAAGGAAGAGGCATCAGGCAGCTGCACTGGGGAGAATGACCTCAAAACACTATAATTAAAGTGATTTTCCGAGTGGAAATGACTATTATGAAACATCCTTCTCTGTTTTATTATGCAGAGCCATTGTAATGGGAACATGGGATTTCCTATGTTAACATTGATATTCCTGTGATCCAATAAATCCTTCTTCACAGTCATCTCCCTTCGGAAGACATACTAAAATTCTGTGCAGCAGCTCTAGGAAACATGCAGGTCTCCAATGTCCTACACATCCCAGCCCTCTTTGGCCAGGCCATTAAGCCGTGAAAAAACGCACACAGTAACTGGGATAGTGTCATACAGTGGTCCTTCCTGTTGGTGACAGTCAATGGAAAGACCTGCGTAGGCTTCAGGAATGACACCTCAGACAGGAGCCCCGGGAAGGGCTTCTCCAAGAGAGAACGTGGTGGCTCAGAGGCAAAAGAGCACTGGCTAAGTCCTTGACCTGACACTAATGAGCTGTGTGATCATGGGCACATCGACCCTGTGTTCTTCCTGTGACATGGCCAACAACACCAGGCACCTCATAGGATGACTGTGAAGACTGCATGATACAGTAGATAGAAGATGTGCCAAAGCAAATAACACCTGATGCTATGGTTTGGATGTGGTTTGACCCTGCAAAAGTCAGCTATGTTGAAATTTGATTCTAAATGTGGCAGTGATGGGAGGTGGGACCTGGTGGGAGATATTTAACATCGAGGCTAATCCTCGCTGGTATAGACTAATAGCCTTCTTTGAGGAGGGAGGAGTTCCTTCTGTCATAATGCAGACTGATAGGTTACCTGAGAGCAGGTTATTATAAAACCAAATTTACCTTTGTAAACTCTCTCTTAAGCTTTTTATATCACCTTGTGGTCTCTTACAAATGTCTGCTCCCTTCTGCTTTTTGCCACGAGGGGAGTGGTCATGAGGCCCTTACCAGATGCAGCTGCCTAATTTGACTTCCAGTCACTAGAACTGTGATGCAAATAAACCTCTCTTCTTTATAAATTACTCAAGTATTCAGCTATAGCAACACAAAGTGGACTGAGACCCTGTGTAAGTATCAGATACTCCACAAAACATTCTGGCTGGCAAAACACAACAAGAGTCCCTGCCTATACACACCACAGATAACTGTTGAGACTTCCAGGTGTGTGCACCACCCTCAGTGCAGGCATACGGCAGAGAACCGAATGGGCCTGGAGTGCCCTGGGTGGTTCAGGTTCAAACAGGTCCATCCCAGTCAGTGACCAACCAGAACCTGGCTCCTGGGCTGTGCACCCCTGTTAAGAGTCATTGGTTGCACCACACTGCTCCTGTCCACTTGGGCCCATTCACAGAGCTGCTCACACCTGAACAAAGGATGCAGCTTTTTTGGGCCAAGGTGTTGCCAGGCATGGAGAGTCCTCCTGTCTGACCTCAGATTCTTGTCCTCTGTTCACAGGGCCTGACTCCAGGGTGACTTCCGCCTCCACCACAATGGACATTACCACCATTGATGGTGAGCTTCCCACCACAGCCCCACCACAATGTACACTTCTTCTATCACTGCAGGTGAGCTGTCGCCACAGAGCCCTTCAAGCAGCCAGGTGGGCATCTTGGTGAAAACATCCAGGAGAACTGACCTAAGTGACTTGGGCAGGGGAGGCTGTGGCCATTTTTCCTCTCCTTAGAGGTAGTTTCTGAATGTAATGGAGGAGTCTAGCCCTGTGGAACATATACATATGTACACCATACATATCTGTGTATATATTTATCAGCCTTCCTGTGGCTATTGACTCACAGGAACCTTGTGGGCACAAGAGACAGCAGTTTTGGTGAGGGAGGTTGAGGGGTGGAGGTGGGATGAGGGTAGACTCTGACCCCAGGCTACTTACACTTCTGCACCATCTCCCTCATCCCACGTTATTTTCTGCCCTGGGGTCCATGCCCCAACTCTCCATCCTCAAGAAAACTCTGAGCCTGCCTTTTGCCTTTCTTTTGAACCATGAGCAAGTGGATCCCCACGGGTCATGGCTGTGACTGCAAACTGTGTCACGAGAACAACCAAGTTTGGGAGGTGCTGTGTGCTCTGTGACCTTCTTTGAGATCCACACTTCTCAGCAGCTTATTAATAACTAGGAAACATCTACAATTTAAAAAGAAAGAAAAAGCAGAGGCAGCAAGTAACCAAAGACACCTGTTGGACTCTGTGTACCTTCCTGGCATCTCCAACCAATTGCACTGCTGAGCATTTTTTCTTCTTAGGTGGTATTATTAACATTATGCAGACATAAGTGTTCCCCTGAAGGCAGTAGGAAGTTTAGAAATTGTTTCATAAAGGTGGGACTTGGGAGCAGTTTCAGACTTTCCATATTCTTCAGCAGTCCCTCCCCAAGGCCTCCACATAAACCTGCATTCTAAGAAGAGACAGAGGCTTGTTCTGCAGCTTCAAAGTAAATGCCCAAACTCAAAACAGCCCTGCCCCATGAGACTGCTGTCCCATCACTCTCAAGGCCCTGAGTGATCTGACCCCTCCTCAGTCGCCTCACACACTGTACTTCTCATCCCTCTGGAGTCCCAGCAGAAGCAGGGTGACTGCTCCCCCACCCCACACATAACCAGCACCTTGTCATCTTCTGCGTTACCCTCTCCCACTTCAGTCTCCTTGTGGCTAAGTCCTGCTCCCTCCTGCAGACACCACAGCAGTCCTCAATTCTTGAGTGGAATGCGAGCAGGGTAGGGTGAGGAGCAGCTATCAGCCATTGAAAACACAAACCACACAACTGTCCCAAGTACATAGCCTCATCTTTTCCCCTTGTATAGTGTGCCATAGAGCAACCAGCTCTGCCCTGCCTTCTGAGCTTTCCTGGTTTTAGAAAGAGGAGCTCCAAGTGTATGTTCTGGGTGCAACTGTTGCAAGGACTGGAGTTAAAAATGCATTACATGTTGAGACCAGCATCTGGCACCTAGTAAGCAATTATTAATTGTTTTAAAGGAAGAGAAAATAGCCCCCTTCTTAACCCTGACTTCGGACAAACTGTCAAAAAGACATGCTGGAAAATTTCTGAGGCCGTTCTGGGTAGTATTTGAGCTTCTGTAAACTATCCACAGTTCGTTTCTAAGCAAGGTGTTACTCTTCTTTCTGAACTTTTGAGGTATTTGGTGATTAGAAACATGTCTAGAAGCACACCACTAAATCCATTTATTTATATATGCATGCATTTACTTATGCATTCAGTGAACATTTATTGAGTACCTACTAGGTGCTAGATACTAAATTGGAGGCTGCACTTGTTTACACTGCATAATAGAGTCCAGCACCCACTTGAAGTTGCTTTGGTCCTGCTTCAGGTCTTGCTACTGAGAAGCACTGTGAATGCTGGACCCTCCACCCTACCTGGGTTCCTGGTGGTGGTCTCCCCAGGTCTCTGACTCCTGGGTGGTGTGTTCACTGGGTCCCTTTTGCTGACCTGATGCCTTGTTTTACCTTCCTCCCACTTTCTGGACACCTACCTAGGCCTACCTGCTTCCTACTGTGGACCCCTAGCAAGGAGTCTGTTCTCCCCTCACCCACTATGACTCCTGACAATTGGCAGCTGGTTTCTTATAAGAAAGAGGCATCTGGCAGCTGCACTGGGGGAGTAATGGACCCTGCACTATAATTAAAGCATTTTCTGAGGAAATGACTATTATGAAGCATCCTTCTCTGTTTTATTATGCAGAGCCATTGTAATGGGAACATGGGATTTCCTATATTAACACTGATATTTCTGTGATCCAATAAATCCTTCTTCACAGTCATCTCTCGGAAGACATGGCATTCTGTGCAGCAGCTCTAGAAACATGCAGGTCTCCAATGTCCTACACATCTCAGCCCTCTTTGGCCAGGCCATTAAGCCGTGAAAATGCACACAGTGTAACTTGATAGTGTCATACAGTGGTCCTCCTACAGGAGAGTCAATAGAAAGACCTTTGAGGGGGCCGAGAAATCCACTCCTCAGACAGGAGCTCTCTTGGGAAGGGCTTCCCAAGAGAGAGAACGTGTACTCCAGAGGCAAGAGCACTGGCTAAGTCCTGACCTGACACTGGATGAGCGAGCTGTGTGATCAAGTGGGCACATCAAGCACCCTGAGCCTTGGTGTTCTTCCTGTGACATGGACCAACAACACCAGGCACCCCTATAGGATGGCTGTGAAGACTGCATGATACAGTAGATAGAAGACACCTAAAGCAACACCTGGTGCTATGGTTTGGATGTTGTTTGACCTCAAAGCCTCATATGTTGAAATTCTTGATTCCCAATGTGGGCAGTGATGAGAGGTGGGACCTGGTGGGAGATATTTGAGTCATAGGGACAGATCCCTGTGTGATAGATTAATACCCTACTGGAGGAAGGAGAGGGAGTTCTTTTCTGTCATGAGATTGACTAGTTACCTGAGTAGAGCAGGTTGTTGCAAACCAAATCTCAGCTTTAAACTCTCTTTTGCTTTCTGTATCACCTTGTGGCGCAAATGTCTGCTCCTCTGCTTTTGCCACGAGGGGGAGCAGTATGAGGCCCTTACCAGATGCAGCTGCCCAATTTGGACTTCCCAGCCACTAGAACTGTGAGCCAACAACCTCTCTTTATAATTACCCAAGTATTCAGCTATAGCAACACAAAGTGGACTGAGACCCTGTGGAAGCATCAGATGCTCCACAAACATTCTGTCGTGAAACACAACAAGAGTCCCTGCCTTCATACACACCACAGATAACTGTTGAGCACTGCCAGGTGCAGGCACCACCCTCAGTGCAGGCATACGGCAGAGAACTCGAATGGGCCTGAGTGCCCCGGTGGTTCAGGTTCAAACAGGTCCATCCCAGTCAGCACCAACCAGAACCTGGCTCCCTGGGCTGTGCACCCCTGCTAGGATTCGTGGGTGCACCACACTGCTCCCGTCCACTTGGGCCCATTCACAGAGCTGCCTGCCACCTGCACATGCAGCTTGGGACAAGATGCTGCTAGTCATGGAGAATCTTCCTGTCTGACCTCAGATTCTTGTCCTCTGTTCACAGGGCTCATCCAGGGGTGACCCACGCCCTCACCACAACGGATATTGCCATCATTGCAGCAGAGCTGCCGCTACAGAGCCCTTCAAGCAGCCAGGTGGGGGCCTTGGTGAAAACATCCAGGAGAACTGACCTAAGGACTTGAGCAGGGGTGGCTGTGGCCATTTTTTCTCTCCTTCAGAGGTGGTTTTGTATGTGAAATGGAGGAGTCTAGTCCTGGGTAAATATACATACGTACGTACATGGTACATATCTGTATATATATTTATCAGTCTTCCTCAGGGCTGTTGACTCACAGGAACTCAGGGGCTGGAGAGGCAGCAGCCAGGTGTGAGGGAGGTTGAAGGTGGAGGGATGAGGTAGAGGACCAGGCTACTTACAATTTCCACCATCTCCTCATCCCACATTATTTTCTGCCCTGGGTCCATGTACCCCAACCCTCCATCCTCAAGGAAATCCTGAGCCTGCCTTGCTCTTGCTTTTTGAACCATGAGCAAGTGGATCCCCACGGGTCATGGCTGTGACTGCAAAACAATGTTTCACAAGAACAACCAAGTTTGGGAGGTGCTGTGTGCTCTGTGACCTTCTTTCAGATCCACACTTCTCAGCAGCTTATTAATACCAGAAACATGCACTGAAAAGAAAGAAAAGCAGCAGCAGCAGCAAGCAGTCAAAGACACCCGCTTGGACTCTGTGTACTCCTGGCATTCTCCAACTCATTGCACCACTGAGCTTTTTTTTTTTTTTTTTTTTCTTGAGATGAAGTCTCGCTCCTGTCCCCAGGCTGGAGTGCAGTGGCGCTATCTCTGCTCACTGCAAAGCTCCGCCTCCTGATTCATGCCATTCCTCCTGCCTCAGCCTCCTGAGTAGCTGGGACTACAGGTGCCCGCCACCACCTGGCTAATTAGATGGTATTATTAACATTATGCAGACAGAATTACACCCTGAAGGCAGTGAGGGAAGTTTAGGAAATTGTTCTATAAAGGTGGGACTTCAGAGCAGTTGCAGACTTTCCATGTTCTTCAGCAGTCCCTCCCCAAGGCCTCCACATAAACCTGCATTCTAAGAAAAGTCAGAGACCTGTTCTGCAATTTAAAAGTAAATGCCCAAACTCAAAACAGCCCTGCCCCATGAGACTGCTGCTGCTAATCACCTCAAGGCCCTGAGTGATCTGACCCCTCCTCAGTCGCCTCACACTGTACTTCCCCATCCCTCTGGAGTCCCAGCAGAAGTGAGGGGTGACTGCTCCCCCACCCCCATATAGCCAGCACCTTGCCATCCTCTGCGTTACCCTCTCCCACTTCAGTCCTTTGTGTACAAGTCCTGCTCCTCCTGCAGTAGATCTGCAGTCCTCACTCCCAGGAGGGAATGGGAGCAGGGTAGGTGAGGGAGTGCAGCCATCAGGCCATTGAAAACACAAACCACAATACAACCTGTCCCAAGCACAGTTAATAGCCTCATCTTTTTTCCCCCTGTATAGTGTACACAGAGCAACCAGCTCTGCCCTGTTTTCTGGGACTTTCCTGGTTTTATAATGGAAAATATCCAAACAAGCTTCAGTCCTGGGATATGATTCTAGACTGTCTGCAGAATGCTTAGTAGCAGAACTGTGGGGAAGAAAAAGAGGAGGGAGGGAGGGAAGGAAGGAGAGGAGAGAAGGGGAGAGGAGGATCATTTTAGGAAGGCACAGGTTACAGGGCCAGCACACAACAGGCTGGTGAAGCATGGGGAAGGAATGAACTGGCCTGTCTGGCGTTGGTACAGTTGTCTCTGATGTACAATCGTTCAACTTATGAGTTCTTGAGTTTGCAATAGCGTGAACGCAAACACATTCAGTAGGAACCATACTTTGAATTTTGGACTTTGACCATTTCCCAGGCTGGCAATATATAGTATGATGCACTACATTATAAAATATGGGTCAGATGATTTTGCACAACTTTAGATTAATGTAAGTGTTCTGAGCCTGCTTAAGGTAGGTTAGGCCAGGCTTTGATGCTCAGTAGGTTTGGAGTATTAAATGCAATTTTCGTTTACAATACTTTTAACTTATTATGGGCTTACAGGAACCTGGCCCCCATCATAAATCAAGGAGCACCTGTTTTGGTTGTGGCAGCATATCTGTCCTCACACAAACCCTGTGGGTCTTGACCCCCATCCCAGGTCCCAGGGCCTCTGCCTCAGACTGACCCTTGCACCTCTTCCCACCTGCAGGCGTGATTGCTATTGTGGCCATCGTCCTAGTCTGCCTCCTCTTCGTCTTGCTGCACTACATGTACCGGCACAAGGGCACGTACCACACCAATGAGGCCAAGGGTACGGAGTTTGCTGAGAGTGCAGATGCAGCCCTGCAGGGCGACCCTGCCCTCCAAGATGCTGGTGACAATAGCAGAAAGGAGTACTTTATTTGAGGGACAACAGACTTCACTTCCCTGAATGCCTCCTCCAGCTCCATCGGGAAAAACATACCCCATCGCCCAGCAGCACCCCTACTGATACCACCAGGCAGAAAGAGAGACAGCACTTGCTCCTTCCCGAGATAGGCACCTGAAAACACTAGGTGTCTGTCCAGGGAGGAACGGAGGAGGACTCGCGCTGCAAGGGGCCTCTCCCAGGGACCCAGGGAGGCGGTGGCCATCCCAGAGGTCACCCTTTGCTTCGCGGAGGTGGGAGAAAATCTGGGCACACGGGGCCCCCTGGGTAGTGCAGGACAGTATCAGCTCACTGGCAGGAAAGTCCTTGTTGAGGGAGAGGGGGTGCCGGGGTACCCGGGGGCTGGGGAAGCAAGGAAATAAGTCATCTGTGTGCTGACTGGGGATAATGGCATCAAATGTCAGTCCTTGACATTTGGGGGAAACAGCAGGTGCCGGAGCTAAAAGGTACCTTTGTCTCCCATTGATCCAGCTCAAAACGATTGGAAATAAATTTGAAATGTAACCGAGCATTCGGAGTCCAACAGTATTACTGTAGTTGTCTGGGGAAAGATAAACGCCACCCAGGGCTTGCTTTTCACCTGTGCGATGTTATGTTCTCTGACGGGGCCTGGACAGTTCATTTCTGGCTCCGGTCGGGGCCAGTTCTCAGAGAGCACAGCCAGTACAGGCGGCTCCCAAGCCTGCCAAGGGAGGAAGGACAGTGAGCAGCTTTCCTTTCCCTACAGGAGCACCAGCTGCACGAAACAAAAGGAAGGGTGAAATGTCCCTCTAGAAATAGCCTGTCCCAGCAGCCAGGGCACCGGCTGAAGTGTTGATTTTCCAAGGTGCAGTATGAGAACAAATGGACCTGATCCAAAAATATGAGTGAATCTCATCCTTCCAGTCACAGTGACCATGATACCCCGTGGTGCAGAGCTCTACTCCCTGGCTTTGGGTCCCAGCTCCCCTTTCCTGGTCCCAGGACCTTGAACAACTTGGTTGACCCCCCTGGCCTCCGTGTTCTCCTCCCTTATGTGGAAATGTTGCTGATAATGGCACCTCTGTTGTGCTTGACTCCAAGCGTTGAGGGTCAAGTGCTCAGACCTCCCTATCTTCCAGTGTCAACAACTGCGTGCAGCAGTAAACAAACATTCCACATTGCACTACTTCTGCACACTTCCTGAGGAGTAGCCATCATTCAAAATAACAGAGTAACAGAAAGAGATGAACTGGTTAACCATTCCCTTCCAGGCGAGTTTTTCCAAGATTCCCAACAGCTCAGCTGTCACTCCAAGGACCAGCAGCTGTGAGGTTAAAGACTGCACGCCAGGTGCTGGGGTCACCTAGGTACTCCCTGGGGCTGCGGCTTCTTGAGGCTGCACCATCTCCACCTGGGGGTTGGCAGAAAGGTCTCAGAGATCTCCCTGGGAGGATTATGGGGAATGCGAGCTCAGTGGAAGGTCCACCTGCCAGAGGAGCTGGCAGTCCTGGGGCCGTGGTCGGGGAGATGAGCTGGGAGCTCACAGAAGCAGTGACGGCAGAAGCCTGGTCCAAAAGTGAGAACTTTCCCTGGTGACCCAAGCTCGCAGGCCTTCATCTATGAAATAAAGGGCTTAACTATACCTGCATGGCCAACACTGATCTTCAGAACAGCAGCGTGGCAAAGATGGCAATAAACAGTCCCAACAAGTATGCGTAAGTCAGTTTTTAGAAGACGATGTATCATGCAAAGTGAAAGCAGTGCAGGTTCCTCAGCATCTTCACTGGCCCAGTGTGGATGCTGGCTCTGGTGGGAGGGGAGCAGTGCACACAACCTTTCCCAGGCGTGTTGAGCCAAAGACTCCATTTGCCCACAGGATACCTGCTAGGAGCTCATGGACCAAGTGGTCCTCGGAGCACATTTTGGAAACACTCAGGTAAACGGTTTCTAACATCCCTTCCTGTGGCAATGCCATTTCAGGTGTTTGAGCACCCATATCTTCCAGGTTTGGGAGCACAGATCACTGTCCGGTGAGCACAGAGGAGGCACCAGAACCTACACATAGACATGCGTTGGGGTGAAAAGTTTCCAGAAGAGGATGAACCCGGGGCTGTCCAGGCCTCCTAGACAGCGGGTGCCTATGTGGGGGAAGGATGACGGTAATTCATTCCTTTCTCCCTCACTGGGCCCAGGAGCTGTCTACACTAAGCTTGACTCCCTGGCCACTCACCTCCCCTACCTCACCTCCTTTTATCCTCACTCTTTTGCCTGCACAGTGTCCTGGAAAACAATTGAAACACAGTCTGCTCCCAGTCCACTGGGTCCGCAGACCCAGCCAGGATGAGGCTCAGCAACGGTAGTGATGACACGGAAGTTGCAGAGCTGGGCTGTCCCAGGTGGCCTAGCTCGGATGCCACAAGGAGGGAGCTGTCACAGGCTAACTGCAGACGCCAGACGGCCACACCAGAGAGCAGGACAACTTCAAGAGATAATGCACACACACACAGAGAGAGTGCACGCTGGTAGACACTGGTGGGCAATTAATAATGCTCTCTTAGATTAGGGACCAGGTTTTTAAATCTTTGATCCTTCCTCCAGCGATGCACTAACTCATTCTGCAGCATGCCTGCAACCAATGTTGGTTGCGGTAAATAACGCACAAATTTGCACACACCGAAGAGTCAGAAAAAACTGTTAAGAAGGAAGAAAGAGGAGAGGAAAGGAAGAGAGGGGATGGGGCAGAGAAGGGCTGGAAGAAGAGGGAAAGGCACAGAGCTCTGTCTGTAGAAAATCCCAGCTTCTTTGCATGTAAGCCTCCTTTAATCCTCGAAATAATCCTGGCAAGTGGATATCCTTATCCTCCCTTTAGATCTGTAGAAATTGAGGCTCAGAAAGGTCAACGAGCTTTGCTGGAGGTCTCACAGCTGCTAATGGCAGAGGAGCCATTTAACTCAGGCCTGTCTGGCCTCCCTTCAGCAGGTTGAGATGAGTCAGCAGGAGCTCCCCAGGGAGCAGAGCAGGTGGCATCAAGACTCATGGATGCTGGCATGACTCACCAGTGCTGGGATCAGAGAATCCTCAGCCAGGTCTCTGCCACCCAGTGGCCCTGAACAGTGATGGCCCAGGCACTTCTGCCAGCATCCCCCATCCCCAGTCAGAGCTGGCCTGGTTGAGAGGTCCCTCCTCGTGCTGGGGAGAGATGATGCAGTGGAGCCTGCTTTTGGTGGGACGATTAGCTTATAGAGATAGCAAGTGCTGCCAGCCCGGTCACACCTCATCCACACTTCCAGCACCCAGGACACTTGCACCCGGGCCACTCTTATGAAAAGGAAAGTGATCATCTAGATTACATCAAGCCAAAGCTTCCCTACCAACCTTTCTTAGATGATTTGTGCTTCTTCAAAGTGCTCATTCCCAAACTAAGAGTATTTAGTGATTAAATTTCGGATCCAGAGACAGATAGGTAATATATGTGTGTGTGTGTCTGAGTATATAGCTGTAATCCACGAACATTTATTAGGTACCATGTAAGTGTTGGAATTACATAGCTGAATATAGCAGCCTCTGCCTTCAGGGGTCCATGGCTTAGGGGAGAAGATAAACATGTAAATGTATATAAGCTCTAAAGTATTATGGATGCTGAGAGAGTAGTGATACAAATCAATTTAAAACACTAAGGAGAGAGAGATCAGTTCTGTCTTGCGAGTGAGATGGACTTAGGAAAGGCTTTAGAGAGGAAGGGAGGCTTGGGCCAGTTACACAGTATATAAGGGCTTGACCATAGAGCGGCTTTGGTCCCAAGCTAAGAAATTTGGACTCTGTTGCATAGGTAATAAAGAGTCACTGAAGGAACAGGTCAGTCTCTATCATACGGATAAGATAATGATCAAATTAAACAAGACAAAAGATAAAAATGCACCATGGAAATTCACAAAGGGGCTTCGAAAGGTCTAGCAAGGCTCAGACCCTGCCCGTGGAGCTGGAGGCCTCCCCACCCTGGGGCTCACCCGCTGCTCCAGCTGCCCCATTGTTTAGTCTGAGTTTCACATGACTCGGCCCATCCTGCCTGGAGAGAGATGGATCTCATCCATTCCCCAGAAGCAGCAGCAGGAGGTCAAGGCTTTGAGCCAACTGTTATGTAAATATTAAAGAGAATTTTCTCTTCTTTTTTAATGGAAGGAACTCCCCTTCATGATTTTATCTTTTTGTCCTCCCTGGAGAGAGGCTGCTCAATTGTTTCCATTCCTTACCTAAATATTTTTATCATCGTAGCAACGGGAATGATTTAGGGGCCAACAGGATTTTAACTGGCCCCGTGCCACAAGTGGAACTATAGGCATTTAATGTTTGCAATTTAGCATGTCAGCACGATGTTATGAAAAGAGAGTGGCTCTGGAATTGGACAGACTTGGACAAAAATCTCATCTCAGACACTAACTAGCTCTGTATGACCTAGGAAGAGTTACTTAATTTTCCGTGCTCCAGGATTCTTACCAGTGACATGATGGCCAAAATATTTGCGTTTTCATGTTTTGAATAGTAATTTAAATGAGGATATAAGCTTGCCAAGAACTGTGAAGGGTCTGAGGTTTTGCCCTGCTTTTAAGTGAGCAATTTGGCCTATACCAGTTTCACAGATGCTGACATAGATGAGATTCCTGGGTCAGAGACAAAGGCACGTACAGCCCAGCAAGCAGTATGACATCAGCATATTTGAATGACATCTCCTCATCTCCAAGTTACATGTGGGAGATGTGGGTGATCTCAGAGGATGTTTATCCATATGGTGGGTTGAGTTCCAGAAGAGAAATCTTGAACCAAGAAAATCAGAATCTCATAATGGGCAGTAAAATGCCTGCCTTTTGCACTGGATGGAGCTACTACTTGGTCTTCCAAGTCTGTTTAATACACAAACAGCCTGGAAAATGTAGTCAAGAACGCAGTGCAGTTCCTGCCTCACTCAACAGATGTAAAAAATGCAAGAGACCCTTGGAGAATTGTCTCCCAACAAGGTAGGCACTGCCTAACATCATGCCTGGTACCTGTGAGTACTCAATAAATATGTGTTGAATGAACAATGCAATGAACTAAATAACAGGGCTCATAGTGAGTCGAGATTGTGCCACTGCACTCCAGCCTGGGCGACAGAGCGAGACTCCGTCTCAAAAAAAAAATTAGAAAACTTTTCTTCTCCATCCTCTGGCCAGTGTATGAGAGATCCCACTGCAGGCTTGTCTTTTTTATTGGTTTGCTATGACAGGAACACATAGAGGCATACAGCTGTGAAAATGTCTTGGTTCATGGGTGGATCCATAAATCCAGAGCCCTGGCAAGAAGGTTGGGTGGAGTTCGCCAGCCTCTATTCTAAGATCATCCTGTAATCAAGAGGTCTCTTGCCAACATTATAGACCTCCAAAGCTGATGTTAAGCTATGCAGATCTCCTAGTCGTTTTAGAACCAAATACATTACATTAGCCACCTTTTATTTTTTAAGTAGCTGAAATTATTATCATTTTTTCGCTCTCAAAAAGTACTTAGAAACAAGTTCTATATACAGCTCTCTCAAGATAAAGCATCCTGTGGGCTTACTGAGACGCCCTAAGTCAGAGTCAGGTCACTCCTTTCTCTAGGGAAGGACCATTTTTTTTTTTTTTTTTTTTTTTTTTTTTTTTTTTTTTTTTTTGAGATGAAGTTTTGCTCTCATTGCCCAGGCTGGAGTGCAATGATGCAACCTCGGTTCACGGCAACCTCCGCCTCCCAGATTCAAGCAATTCTCCTGCCTCAGCTTCCCAAGTAGCTGGGATTACAGGCACCCACCACCACGCCCAGCTAATTTTTTTTGTATTTTTAGTAGAGAAGGGGTTTCACCATGTTGGCCAGGCTGGCCTCGAACTCCTGACCTCAGGTGATTTGCCCATCTCGGCCTCCCAAAGTGCTGGGATTACAGGCGTGAGCCACCGCGCCTGGCCTGGGAAGGACCATCTTGTTCATAGCTGCCATACATGGACATTGTCTTCTTAAGGTAACAAATGGAGGTGTTACGGTGAAAGGATGGTAGACATCCAGACCTCAGCTCCCAGGCAGAGATAACACCCACTAATTCTTTCATTCAGGACACGGATGTTCTCTGCATTGACACTACAGGAGGTGCAATGCCAGAGACTTGGAGCTGAGCAAGGCCTTGCTGGCTCCCTGGAGGACACTGGCTGCAATAAGAGATGTGTTAAAATAGTTCAAGCTGCAAGGGGTCCATCATGGAGGACCAAATGGACTGAGGAGAAGTCAGGGGAGGATTGTTGGAGGGAGAATTCTGAGATGGGTTTTGAAGGAGCTATCTAGGTGAGGAGACGACAAATGCAGAGAAATCGAGGAGATATTGGAACCTGCAAGTATGCAGTTCTTCCTGTAGCTTCAGGCACGTATGGAAGTAACCGAGGATGACTCCAGACCCAGAGACCGTAAAGAACGAGGTAATGAGAGGGCTGGCCACTGTGCCGTAATTGAAGGTGGTAAGAGCCGTTTACAGGAGGAAAGTGAGAGGAGATATAGTCAGATTTGCAAATCACGTTGCATCCAATGTTGAGAGGAATTAGAAGTTGTACTCTGGGGACAAAGACAGCCTAGAAATTACTGAGGCCTGAATAGGGAAAAGCACCTTATGAGAGATCTCTCAGGATGGAGACAAAATCCTCTTTTTTTTTCTTTTTTATAAAAATATGGAACGCTTCATGAATGTGCATGTTATCTGTGCACAGGGGCCGTGCTAATCTTCTCTGTAGCATTCCAATGTTAGTATATGTGCTGCCTAAGTGAGCACCAAAATCCTCTTTTAATGCAATTGTGAATCGATATGACCCTGAATTGGTTATGAAACACCTTGTGTACAGAACACAATAGCCCCTAGAGTAAAAGATCGAACTAGACCTGTTCGGTTTGTGGATGAAGACCGTCCATCTGCCTTTGTAACTAAAATCTCTACGGAATAAACCAAGTTTTTAAGTATCACAGAGACACATCTGCAATTCCTCCATAGCAAAAGATACCTAACTAGGATCCCAGAGAGAAAAGGAAAGCAAAGGATTTAGAAGGGCTACCCCACGAGGCCTGGCCTCTATGCCTCTGGGAGGCCAGGGGGAGGCTATTCCACCCAGGCTTTTGACCTGAGTCAGAAATTCTACCCTGCAAGTTTTCTTCTTCGGGATGAGTATTAGAAAGCTCTCTGCCAAGTACGTCCCTCCAGGCGGAGAGGAAGCAGGGAGAATAGTGAGAAGGCCCACCACCTCCCCTCTTCATCTGGAGACAGGAGAGCAGAAAGGGGTGCCGAGGCATGTGTGTGGAGTGTGTGGTGGGAGGGACACATGAGGGAAGAAAACATAGAGGATTCCAAGCTCACTACTCTTCCCCAGCTCAGCTCTGACACCCTTCTCGGTTCGGAATGCCATCCTGCGCCCATGCGAGAACATGAGACCAAAAAAAAGGCTGTGCTAGAAGTCAGGCAAAATACCCAGGAGGGTTTCAGACAATGTCACAAAATCCACTATGGGACTTGTGTCCCACTTTCTCATTTTCCTAAGAAATGAGGTCATGGAGATGCCAGAGGGAGCAGGCGTCACGTAAGTTGTAAGTACCGGATACCTGTGCGATGCTAACATCCGTTCCATACTTGGCACCTGTGCAATGCCGACTAGCTGTGGAATACTAGCCACCTGGGCAATACTGGCACCTGTGCAATACTAGCGTCTAAGCAGTACTGGACAGCTGCGTACCACTAACATCTGAGCAATATCAACACGTGTGCCATGCAGAATACCTGTGCAATACTGGCCCCTATGCAATACTGAGCACCTATTCTATACTGGGCACCTGAGCAATACTGGTACCCGTGCAATACGGACAGCTGTCCAGCATTAGCATGTTTGCACCTGGGCAACATGTACCTGTGTAATACTGGGTAAAGTTGTGCAATACCAGCATCTGATCAATACTGGCACCTGTGCAATACGGGATATTTGTGCAATACTAGATACTAGAGCAATACTAGGCATCCATTCAATACTGGGTACCTGTGCAATTGCTGGACACCACATGTGCACTGACAATTGAATGAATCTGTTGGTGTCTTGCAGTTGATATTCACTAGGTGAATAAGACAAGGAAGCTTCTGGGAGATGACATGGAGCAGAGTCAGGTGGCTCTCCTCTTGGAGCTTTGTTCCTCACTAGTAAAAAAGGGGTGATAGGCCGGGCACAGTGGCTCACACCTGTAATCCCAGCACTTTGGGAGGCCGAGGTGGGGGGATCACTTGAGACCAGGAGTTGGAGGCTAACCTGGCCAACATAGTGAAACTCTGTCTCTACTAAAAATACAAAAATTAGCCAGGTGTGGTGGCACGTGTCTGTAATCCCAGCTACTCAGGAGGCTGAGGCAGGAGAATTGCTTGAACCCAGGAGGCAGAGGTTACAGTGAGCCAAGATTGGGCCATTGCACTCCACCCTGAGTGACACAGTGAGACTCTGTCTCAAAAAAAAAAAAAAAAACAAAAACCAAAGCAGAAAAAAGGCCGGGGGGTGGATTAACCTTGTTCCTTTCTTCTTCCTTAAACTTACAATTAGCCAATGTAGTGAGATGCAGAGGTGCCTAAAAGTAAAGAAAGCTCTTTACCATGAGTATTTTTCATTCTTTTCAATACCCTGTTGAAATGTACTATCAGAAATTTTTTGTTTGTTTGTTTATATGGAGAGAGATTTTCCCCTCACAGACATGTTTGATTTTTAAAACAAGGCTGGAGATTGTAAATAGCAAAGCTGAATTGGAATTCTTGGCAGCTAACTGCAGCTACCCCCCAGGGAGGTAGAAGGAAGTTGTGTAGCTTGTTTATTCCACCCACTATTAATCACCTGCCATTGAAAAATGATTCTAACAGGAAAAAAATGTACAGCTGCATTACCGATCAAAAAATACAAATATATACATGTATATTTGTATATACGTGTATATATACAGCACTGACTCTTGAACAACACAGATTTGAACTGCACAGGTGCACTTGTATGCAGATTTTCTTGCACTCTGCCACCCCTGAGACCCCTGAGAAAGCAAGACCAACCCCTCCTCCTCCTCAGCCTACTCAACGTGAAGATGAAGATCTTTCTGACGATTTACTTGCACTTAATGAATGATAAATATATCAAATATATTTTCTCTTCCTTATGATTTTCTTTTTTTCTTTATAATTTTCTTGAGACATAGTCTCTCTCTGTTGCCCAGGCTGTAGAATCATACCTCACTGCAGCCCTGGACTCCTGGGCTCAAGCCACCCTCCCACCTCAGCCTCCCAAGTAGCTGGGATTACAAGCGCAAGCAGTAAGGACCTCATCCAGTCCTTATGATTTTCTTAGTAATGTTTTCTTTTCTCTAGCTTACTTTATTATGAGAATATACTATGATACATATAACAATTGATTAAGGTTATAGGTAAGGCTTCTACTCAAGAGTAGTCTATCAGTAGTTAAGTTTTGGGGAAGTCAAAAGACTTATTCATGTATTTCTGACTGTGTAGGGATGGGGGTGGCACTCCCAACCCTCACATTGTTCAAGGGTCAACTTTACAGAGATGTAGCTATAGACAGATAGAATAGATTTAGATATAGCTAAAGATAGGTAGATGTATATGTATACACTTATATATATGTACACATGTACGTGCATATATATGTGTAGTAAATATGGGTGTACATGTGTGTATTGCATTTTAACATATTAATTAGGGCAGAGATCATTTAGAAGAATCTTACCCAAAGTCACTAGGCTCGCACTGGCTGGTGAATGGAAACGTGGGCATGACCTCTCTGACAATACATTTGGTAGTGAGCCAAGAATCTCGTAAATGTTCGTATTCTTTCATCCAAAAATTCTACTTCTAAAAGTCTATCCTGAAAACAATATGCTGAAATACAGATCAAAATTTCCGTTTAAAAAAGGCTTATAATAGCTCTATTCGCATAGAAAAAATACAGAACTATTTAAATTTGCATCATTAGGGGAATGTTAAGAGAATTATGATGCAGACTTGCAATTAAATATTCTACAGCAAGAAAATGATGTTACAAAGAATTTTTAATACGTTGAGGAAATGCTTGTGATATAATGTTAAGTGAAAAAACAGTAAAATACACAATAATACCCACTATAAACTCAAGCATGCCAAAAAAGCACAGAAAAGATTGGAAAATTTCACCTGCATATTAAGGGTAATTACTTACGGTGCTAAGACCACTAAAAGATGTTCCATCAAAATCAAGGAAGTTTTCCAAGACCCCACCCGCTTCAGAGGCCGAGACAGGAGGCAGCTTCAGGCTGTGCCTCTTCTCTTTGCCTTCCAGGATCAGACACCTTTGTGGGTGCCTTTATGGGTCATTGTTTCAGATGCTTTTCTCCTACCAAGTACTTTTCCACATCCCCTACCAAAAATATATAATAAAAAGAATTTTAAAAATTCGATGAGCCTCACCAAGAATTGGCACTCTTGTAAATTACAGAGTATTTTCCAGCCCACGCCCAAGGGGGTGGTCTTTAGAAACAAAAGAGAAAAAGTGAATCATCATGATTATCACCCAAACTACAGTCAAGGCCCTTCCTTCAGAGAGGGATTCCAGACCTGTGCCCAGCTGCACTGCTGACATGCCGTGGGTGTCTGGAAGCCAATTAGGGTGGGACTGACTGGTGAAATGGGAGAGAACCAGGGCCCTCAGCTGATAGAAGGCACAGAAGAGGTTACGTGGCCCAGCTAAGAGACGGGGCAAGGGCTTTTCTGAGGCTACACAGTGCATTAGACATCAGTTCTGACTAACATTTCTAAGTGTACTAAGCATTTACTATGTACCAGGTATAATCTGTTAACTCATTTAATGCTCAGAACAATCCTTTGAGGTAGGTATTATTATTTTCTCCCCATGTCACAGATGAGGAAATAGAGAAAATAAACCTTAGAAAGCTCATCCAAATTGCATAGAACAAAGTGGCAAACCCCAGAGCTGAACCCAGGCTTCAGCCAGTACATGTAATAACTACACGATGTATTAGAAAATGCTAGCTCTGAGACGGAAGATCCACACTGAGATCTGGGAATGTGGGGTTTGTTTAACCAAGGGACCTGCAGGAGAATTGCTCTAAGAGGGCCCAGACACCCTCCTGCTTGCCTCAAGGTGAGTAGGGACACCAAGCCGGCATCCCCATTTGCAGAGGTGGCATCTATTCCCATGGAAGTAGGTGCTTCCCCAAGCAAACCCTCAGGAGCAGGGCAAACATGTTCTCAGAGATACCCCACAAGGTAGCTGTTCCTTTGGGATTTCCCTGCTTTACCGGAGATGTCTGCCTGGGATGGGATAATGGATAATGGAGGGGGTAATGGTACATCCTTCCAGAAATGTCTTATCTGGATACAAACACTCAATTCTCAGGATAGAGGGAAGCCCTGGGGGATGGTGTTGCCCTGGATTCAAGCGGGAAGCTTTGCTCCTAGGACAAGGCAGAGCAGCACTTGCAGGGCCCTGAGCCGGCACACCACCACCCACACACCATAGTGGCAGAACACACCTTCATTCCAAGTCACCAAGCACGCACGGAGGACCTGCTATGTGCCTGGTCCTGTATGCACACTAGGTCTACAGAGAACAATACCTGTCCTCAGGGAGGTCCCAGAGGCAGCAACAATAATAGAAACTAACCCCAAAATGGCCATAAAGCTTGCTAACTACAGGGAGAGAGAAAACTGCAAGATGCTTCAGTGTATGACCCAGAAGATGGCAGGATGGAGAG